TTATTAGCTCTAGCTTTTGGGTGATCAATTGCCGCTGGCACTGGGTGATGAGCAAATGATTGCCCACTTTTATGTGGAACGTCGGGTAGGCTAGCCAGAACGCCAGGCAATTTCAGTACAATGTGAACGAGTGATCCTTAGGCCGAAGACTCGAAGTATTTTGAAGCTCCATTGCTCTGGTGCCACATTAACTTGGTATCCGCCACATCATTGACCTTTACTTTTTCTGGAGAAGATGAAAAATCCCCCGTCGCAGGACTTCCCGCAGGTTGGAGACACAGACCTTGTGATAAAGAATGAACCTCGATAGGTTGCTGTTACAGCTATCTCATGATGACAAGCGGGGCTATTCATAGCTGAGATTTGAAGTGACGGTACATCACTTTGACGTTTGCGTCCTGTCTTGATTTGAGACAGGTTAGACAGCATGTGTTCGTTACCCAGTGAGTGAGCCAAGTCATGTACCTGGCGGCCCTATCATGAGCTTTTGGTACAAATGTACACTGCGTTTGAATGTTTCAAACACTATCACCATTGACCGATTACATATACCGTCATTTAGCAATCCACGGCTTGGCAACTCCCCATGTAAAAGTGTTCACAGCGCTTATGGTATTTACCTGATATCTGCACGAATTTCCGGACAAGGTGCTCTTCTCTAGTGGCGTGAGGTGTTTTGACAACCCACTGTGAATTCGCGGCGATGTTTGATTACAACAACAAACTGAAAAGGGCTTTACGAGCCCTAAATGCGAATCTGCAAGCGCAATATAACCACAGACCCGGGCTTAAATCACGTCAAAAGCTCGGCTTCGAACCAACAGAAGTCCCTGGTTGTACAGTTATCTAGCTTCCACGCGCCTATGCGAAAGAGCGTGTCTTTCAAATCCAAGGTGGAACAAGCGCGAGATAGGTTACTTCATTGGACGCATTCGTAACGCATTGACTTTTCGCCTCAGGAGTACCGCCTGCTTTGGATCAGCAGCGGTATATATAACCCGTAACACCAATAGGGATGTATGTTAGGTGATAGAAGTTTAAGTGAATACCACTTAGTCCATGATTCATTTAGTAGATTGAGTCTGGAACACACGCCGACTCACTCTCATCTAGACTGTACAAGACTGCTTCAGCTGAGCGAACACCCATGCTTGATTACACAAAGTTTAATGCACGACGCGACTGTCGAGGTGACATATCATTACCTCAAATTCATGGTATCAATAGCCTCGCTGGTCATCGTGAGACAGATGTACAATACCACCCAAACGTCTTTTTACTGCGACGTCTGTCGCCATCCACCAGTGAGAATCGCGCTGCGACAGGGGACGCTAAAACTTTCCAATAAGCCTACATCAAAATACTGGGCAGAAATCAGGCCTGTTGTACTAAGATATAGATTAGCTCCTGCTTTTGGTTCTGTACTCCATTTATTCTTTAAAGTAGAAATGTGCCTCCAAAATCGTGTTAAGTTTGCGCTTGGTCTGTCTATTTGCACGGTTACTTTTCAAAATTTAGTCACAAAAGTAAAAGATTTGACCAGTATGCCAGCGAGCTTAATTCTCGCGTGAGACACACGCGTGACGTCAGCGCTACTTGTCATAATGGTTGGTCTTCTCAAGTTGAACAAGCGTTTTTGCCAGTGTAGCAGCAGATGACGGGAGTTGAATCCTAAGCTGATTGCAATTTTCATAATTGGCTTGCGCAAAGAGTCACGTCGCTCATGTAGAAAATATGTACTCCCAATTTAAAGAAAAACCTTGGGCTGTCAAATACTCGCTGGTCTAGGACTGACTAATCGTTCTCTAAGTAAAACATATCATCATGCTCATAGAAGCCATCAAGGGATACAATTGTTCAGTACAGCCGCTCACACGTCATCATCTTGAGGAGACAATGTATAACCGGGTTATTTACGATTTGATGGTGTTCATATACCTTTTATATGCATATATTTGTAGATATGCGCTATTATGAGTGTTGAGCAAATGTATATGAGAACTTCGTAACGGAGCGGTCAGCGGCTCATATGGGCTGTTGCTTATGAAAGTGATGGTACTTTGTGAAGGATCGGTTTGAGGTGTTGACCTCGCGTCAAATTTTAAATATTGAGTTTCTTGAAATACCAGCGCTGAATTAGGTAACCGGTAACTTTAAAAGCTTTTGATATCGCTCCTCGTTGTAGCGTACAAATACGTTAATTAACATGGACGGTGTGAGTTACACATTGCAATGTACGCGCTAAGAAACTTGCGCTTTCTAGCACTTGTAGTTTTTTCCACGATCTCATTGTGAGAAAATTTGTTTACCTAAGGTTATCTAACCATGATATATTTAGAAACTATCCCAGGATTAAAAAGGCATGCTTGAATTTCTTTTGTTTACCATTAAATTTGAAGAAAGTCAGAGTAATGGTGGACTAAGGGACAGTAGCGAATTTCACTCATTTGAAAAATTTTCAGTAGCGAAATTCACTCATTTGAAAAATTTCACTAGCGATGAAAACGTTTTGTAGATATCAAATGCACGTCATACAAGTAGCACCACTTTGTATAATGATATAAGTGCCTACGCATTCAGCAATGAGAAAACCTGGCAAATAATGAAGTATGGCTTTGTGGGCTGTGAATTTTAAAGTGACATTGTATCAAATCAAAAAAAAAACTCCAAAAGTAAGCGACTTGTGCATTAACGGCTCAACATGCGTTACTTTAGCGGCAAAACTAGATTTCTCAAGCGCGTACACTCGAGAACCGCTAACAAGTTTTCGGTGTGGCTTTCCATATCCTTGTTCCCAAGCTCTAACGGCTATGAGGGAAATAGATTTGCATCCTGGCACGATGTGACCTAAAATGCTACGTCACAAGAGAATATAATGTAGCTAGAGCATAAGACAGTTTATGAGGCATTACTAGCCACTTTCGTAGCACAGTGCCATCCCTTATCGCTCCAGTGGGTAGAACTTCGCTGTCTTTTATCAGCAGTTGTTAAAAACTATAAACCGGGCTGAGAGCAGTGAGCAAAATACAGCCATATATGCTATTCCTTCCTAGATTTTGGCATTTGCAATCATATAATCGTAACCCTTTTAATTCACCACTTGACACTAAGAGTCGGCGCCGGTTGTACGCATCGCCAGATTTGTTTCGTGCGTCGCACGAAAAATTTGCAATAGGCCAGGTTCTATCACAAATGTGTGCCTGACATTAACTGTACACCCTGTATAGTTTATAACCCCTTTCCTTTCCAGATGTATCAAAATTGGAAGTAGTTATCAGGTTAGGGGACATAACAGCCTATTGGCTATAATAATAAATATAATTTCACCTTTCCTTTTCTCTACGTATGTCAACGACCTGCTGGAAGCGAGTAACACGCGGTGAGGTGTGTCAGTTCACCTAATTTTCCTCAGAAGTGCGTGTGTACAGACGGCCAAATTCCCGTTTTAAAATATCTCTAATGATATCGGACCGTTCCCCTGGCTCGGCATTGCCGTGGGATACTTTGGGAACCAAGTCAATTTCATGACGCACACCTTGTAGTTTTTGCACGCATCCCGATGAATAATCTACCCAGTTTATAAAAGAGCTTCTGCCGGATGAAGGGAAACGAACGAAGCTCCGTTCACGAGTGATTTATCTATCTGGTCACCTTCTCGTAAATTTTCAGCGCTCCGCATCGTGGACATACCACACGGTGGTGCTGCCTTCACATCGTGACATTATTGTATGATACTTCTTATCTACCGAGCTTAGACGTTCTACTCGCGACTTACAGTCACCATGTATCTTCGCCGCCTCTGGCATAGGAGACAACAGTTCACAGCTATACTTTACGGCCTGTCCGAGAAAGGACAACGACATACAATCGTCATTCTCGCCCCAGCAGAGATACCCTTTCGGAGACCGCGATATGCTCTTCAAGCATTACATTAAATCCTTATGTAATATATAAGCGTACTCAGACGCCGGCAAAATAGCAGAAATTTTATATCTATGGTTTAAAGTACGCTGTATCTCACCGACAAATCTCCAATTTACTTTTTTTGTATCTCATCAAGTTAGTTCGTAACGCAGTTTCGCGAAAACACACCACACCCGCTTAATACGCTTACTGTTGAGTGTTTACAGAAACCCTAACACCGAAATTACCAAGCATATGATTTTGGCTTATTTTTTTGGTTGACGTATTTATACGAGCTAGTTCGTTCATTCCCTACTGAGACGTCAGCTTTGGAATCCGCGAGCTGTATATTTGCTTGCGTTTAATTTTTTACAATAATATCCTCGTTGCCTTGTTGATAGTAGTGGGAGCTCGCCTTTTCCATTCATATTAAAGCCACGTAAAGGAGCAGCTTCAAAAATCTATTGACTTTGCAAAAGGTCTGCTTCTGTGTAAATCCGTACCTAATACACCGCACACGACATAAAGGCATACAATCACTAGTTACGTTTAGCCTAAAGTGCCTATTTTGCAAAATTAGGTTAAATTGTTTACTAACCAATTTTAACATGTTTGACCACATTAGATAACGCTCACTGGACCAATTACGTTGAAAAATTTTTCGGCAACGTATCGTGTACCTAACAGAGTATTTGTGCTAAAATTCCATATCATGTGGTTACACCTCATGCTGTGTGTCAAGTGAACAGCGTTGTAATACAGCAAGCATCGGGTAGTGTATGCACACTACCAAACGCTTCGATAATGCGGTATTCTGGCTTAAAATCTTATTTTTCTCAAAACTTTAGATAGTGCAGCACATGTTGCATTTTACCTACGTATCGCTCGTATCGCCTCGTCTATGCACGACAACACCATAGCCTGAGAAGTGCGAAAGCACATCCGCCACCACAATACGCCTACTAGACTTTTATTTCATTGAATGATATTTTTCGACGAATGAAATAACCATCCGACCGTTCTCTGAAGGATGTGGTGATGATGTCGCTTTCTTTTTAATGGCATGATCTATAGTCAGCTTCAATGGCTTCAGTTCAATGGACAGTGCTCTGTTCTTTGCAAGAGCTATACTATCGCGAGCAAAACCTTTACATAGACCAGATAGCTCTTCTCTGCCACTATCTGACAACATTCAAACGTGGTGGCGCGTTCATACTCGTCGCCATTCGCGTGAGGAAGGAACAACATGTGGCATGAACCAGTTCATGACAGACGACGTTAAGTTGTTGATGTAAATTTGGAGCCGTCAGAATTGTCCGTCGGTGAGGTTGAAGGCAGCTCCTTATGCTGCAATACTATTGACTCCCATTTTCAGAAAAACGGTGACGGGCTCGAGTATTTCACAAAATTGAAGGTGATCAGGCTAGGAAACTTTTTACACCCCTTCCAATTAGTGGTAATGACTAAAGCCCTCTATCATCTTTGCGACATCTGCTCCTCGTAAAACAAACTTTGCATATGGAGTATTCCTGAATTGAAATATTTTCGGCGCTAGAACCACACTTGTTTGTTACAATAAACGTCTTAATCATGTCCACGCAATCGTTGAATGTTTAAACCCAACAAACCGCGCTCTGTAATACTGTAGACAAAATATCCTCATATATTGATGTATGCGTATGCACAACGAGGCCTGAATAGCAGTGTTTCCAGAGGAATCAAGGTCGATGGTGTGTTAGACAGACCCTTATTCATGGCCAACCGCTCCAAGAACCTCCTACTCGAGGTAATCTCTGCCTTGGGAGATATTATACTGTCTCCCGGAATACTAACATAATCTATCGAATTACTGTACAAAGCGCAGCCGACCATGCGATTCGGCCGCGCGCCCTTGATAAGATTACGCATTTGCACCAAAATTGAGACTGCATATAACTTGATATAAGCATTGTACGATGAGCTTCAAGTCGTTAGCCGTTTTTGACACAAACAAATTAGCATCAAGTGAAAAACACTGTTTTTTTGAAGGATCATTTTTTAATTTGCATGGGAAAAGTGTCTCTACTGTTTAACTATTCCCATGCTAAGGGTTTTTGAAGCATGACACTTTATTTTTTGCTAGGATGAATCCTTTAATGAAGGGGTCATACTAGCAGCGGGTCTCTCGTTGCCACGCTCTGAAATTTTATTACAAAGCATAGGAGGATGAGTGAGATCTTAAATGTCTACAGTTCATTTGTTACTGTCAGCGCTGTCTGAGTGACCTCAAAAACAGGCTAACCACGATGTACGATGATTTTTCTCTACGAACATGACCATTTTAGTCACTTTACCGTATACCAATTTAGTGCAAATATTGCCAGTCATAACTCCTTCAGCTCATTGTTGGCTGTTGCCTGGTGTTGTGGTACTTTCACTAAATCTTATACCTATTCGATTATACTTTTACGATTGATATTTGGGCTTACCACAAAACCGTGGACCTTCACTGCTCTGACTCATTGGCGAGTCACACGGTATTGCTGACATTAAGTCCTATGTTATCGTGGCAGAGGCAATTTATCCTTTGACAACCTCAAATGGGTCATTCATCGCACGAGTTTCCTTAATTTACTATGCAACGGGACTGCTGTCGCTCTTAGCTCAAAGGAGGCTAGGCTACGGTCACCGACCTCAGCCTCTTTACAAAAACCAGTACGAGTGCAGCGGGTCGCAATCCGCTGCCTCCAAGAATATTAGAAAAATTAGCCAAGTCAAATAAGTTCTTCCGTTCAAAATCAAAACTGTATTTAATTGTTTAGTTGCGGCAGAGCCGCCAATATCTAAAATCTTAGGTTTTCCATAATTTATATAGTAAAACCGAAATAATATAGTTAAACCTATTTAATATGCATTACTACTGACAATCCCATAAACTTGTGTAATCCACACCTGTGTACTGTCACACGATCTTGTGCTTCCCGCTCTTTTATACAAGGGTACGGATAACCCTGTATTACTCCCTCATTGAAATCGTGAATATCAACAAATTCACATTTAACTATCGCCTCATACGAGCCTCGCGTGTCTGAGGCACCGTCAGTATATCCTTGAACATTTCCCGCTCAATGAGCCCTGTGTCTATGACATGAAATCCACCCAGCCAAGTTGGTTCCGAAGGCGCCCGCGGGCAGAGCCCTTCTTCTTGTGCACGGGGTGCATCTCCAGACAGTACGTCCGTGGCTTCACGGGAAGCACATTTCAAGCCCTCGGCAACCGAGCGCAATACACCGTGCCCGCCCTGAGTGACATATTTCCTCGTCAAGGAGTTGGAAAATGTCGACTACGAGTCGGATGCTTCATCCCAGCGAAGGAAGACGAGGGGGATGAAGTGCGCCAACGGCACGACGTGAGCCCAGCTCAAACCTTGCGGACACCGTGTCCGTTCCCCGACCTCTCGGCTTCCGACGGAAGTGGTGTTATTACCAGTCGCCTCGACGAGGCACAGGAGCAGCAATTGGAGGCGGTTCACAGGACGGCCCTCCGGCGCTCGTATCGACGTTCGGTTCTAGAACCTCGAGTGGAATACGGCCTCCGCTCGGCGGATCCCGCTCTGAAGCGAAAGACACGATAACACGATCGTTAGGCATCTACGTAGTCGAGCCCCCGGCCACTTCACAAGCAGAGCTTTATCAGCGGAAAGCTTTGCGAGCTCGCTTTATAGTACCACGATATCCCAACAAATTGGTATCGCGCTCGACTTCGAGCTCAAAGAGGGGGGGGGGCTTATGTACCCGCAATTCGGACTAAAACTGTGGCGCTCGCCCCGCGAAACCGCTGCAGATGATAAAGAGCGCTTTGAACGATGGTTGCAGCGGCACCGGAAACTTTCATCGCTGTCAAACTTATAGCGGAGCCACAAGGAAGTAGACGTGCGCGTCGAAAACCATCTTCGATTTGAGCTTCCGAACTCAAGGCTCAACCCCGACTTCCTTCGGATTGTCGCCCTGCGACATATGGAATAATCCATCACGCTCCCGCAGGCTCTGTGGTTTCTCACACAGGTGAGTCTACTACCACAGCAGCTCGAGCTCACTTTATGGCATTTTGGATTTTTTGGCTACCACCGAAAAGCGCAGGGCGTACGACAATCCGGACCGTTATAACTTTTTTGAGCATAAGCGCCCTCGACGTCTGAACAGTCTCGCTGAATTAACACCTCAGACTCCCGCGAGTTCTCGAAGTTTGGGTGTCCCAGCCGCTTCACAAGATGTTAAATTCGACCTTGTCAACGACGTCGAGCCACAAGGCGTTCCACGTGATAATAAACGCCACCATTCTCATCGAGAAGATAACAGCTTGGTCGATCGCCGTCCGGTGACTCGCGATGCTCTTCGCGCTTTTAAAGATAAAGTCCGTCGCAATCAGCACTCCTCCGAGCATCTTTCCGAAGTCGCATACCGCTGTGCGGGAGACCTTGGGAGCCTGGAGCACTTTGTGTACCGACTGCCTTACGAGGATTATCGCGTTCTGTTTGAGCAGCTATTAGTCGTCGAGCAGACGAAACCGTCACTTCGTGCGATGGTAGAGCGCCCTGCGCCGTTAAAAACGGAATTTGTTGCACTCCGTGTTCAGAACGAGTTGCTGTCTCAGCTTCTGGGTATTCAAGCACTTTTGGGTGCCTGGTGCCAACGCTCCCGCGTTAAGTTGCGCCGGGTCCCTGTATGGCTTTAGCAAGCCCACATAAATCATCGGGTTGGTGCGCATACTTCTCGGAAGGTGTAGCATAAACGCAAAGCCTCGCTTGGCCACGACATTAGAGGTCCAATGTACCGTGGATGAAGCTTTATCTTAAAGACGGCAGAGACTGTATGTGTAGGAAGCAATTAATAAAGCATGTCTGCAACCTCAAACGTCTCAAATTTTCTTCTGCTTCTTCCGTTTGAGTATTCTTTCTGCATGTCTTTGCTTTCAGCCATCGCATCGCAAACGTATCGTTGGATACTCAGTCTGGTACCATGGAAGTCATCGATTCGTTTATCGAGAGTGACAGGGCTGATATCAGCTAGCCGTTCAGCTATTCCTCCCCCACATAGCCTCGAGCCATGGGATGGCGACGTCAGCAATAAGCGAGGGTTAACAAGCCCGTTCCCGTTGAAAGGCGTAAAGCCGGTCGATGAATGTACTGCGATGTTCAGAGCAAGCTCTATGAGTGGCAACATGGCGCTCCAGATCTTCGGCGTTCTGCGCAGACGGTCCGAAGAACTTCTTCAACGACGAGATTCACGCGCTCAGTCTGACCATCGGTCTGCGGATGGTCCGCTGTTGACATAGTCAATTTGGTGCCCAGCACTCTGAAGGTTGTCGACCAAACCTTTCCGGTGAAGCGTGGGTCTCTATAAGAGATAGTTATCACCGGGAGCCCGGTTTGTCGAAAGACACGATCGACAAACAGCGCCGCTGCCCGCACCTTCGATGTTGTCCGGCACTGCCGCAAGATGAGCCATCTTCTTCGATCAGTCCATAAAGACCACGACACTCGTATTGCCCGCCGAGTCCTTCGGTAGGCTAAACCCAAAGTCCATACCCACGGACTGTCAACACCCGGAGGGTACCGGCAAAATGGCCAGCGACGCCGCTGCATTCGGAGAGGGTTTCACCATCCGAAGCGTCTCACACGTACGCACGTATGTGCTGTCCATTTGAACAGCTTGGGACGACAATAGTGGCAACTCACCGATCTGATCATTTTCTCGCGACTGAGATGACAACTGAGTGGGTCGTGGGTCGTGGGTCGTTGGCCTCAACGAGGATACCGTATTTCAAAACCTCATCGTTAGAAACCACAACTCGTAGCATATCCGTCGAATCGGTGCTAAAATACAGCAAACCATTATTTAACGAATATCGGTGTAACCGTGCGCGCAATCGCGTTGACAATTTCATGTCCGAGTTTCGTAGCTCCTTGCTACCGAAAGCCTGTAGCATCGCTACACACATCCCATCACCCGCATATGCATTGCAGATCAAATCCGTCACCGACAACGTCACCATCGTGAAATGAGCAAGCTCACAATCTGGTATGCGTGACAACGCATCAGCCAAAGCATTCTGCTTTCCTAGCTTATACTTCACCTCGAAATTATAATCCGCGAATTCCATTACCAAAAGATAGTACGAATCCGAGGGGCTCTCTGGGATCGACGATCCGCTTCGTGCGTTCAGTACCCTCTTGTGTAACGGGATTGCACATACCCTGGTAACAGGTGTGTGTGTCACACCATATAGGCATGGTGTGACCATACCCAAACAAGAATACGGTACGGGGCTGGATAGCCAGTAGTTATACATGTATTTAGCTTTCACTATACATATTTAGGAAAATCTATGCATGCAAAATTAGGCGGCTTTGCCGCAGATAAAGAAATTAAGTCAGTTTTTAGATTTAAACAGAAACGTTAATTAGCCTTAGGTTAAAGTTGTAATTACTTTTGATGTAAGCGAACTGCGATTCGCTAAACTCGTACTGATTCTTGTGAAGAACATAAGGTCGGTGACCTAACTTACGCTTCCTTTAAGCGCAAAGCTACGGCAGCCCCGCTGCACTTGGTTGCACTAGTAGTCAATCTACACCTGAGTCGTTTAGACTGACCCTCTGTGATGATGGATGAATTTTCCTCATAGCCCCAGGGCATGCAGGACGGGCTTAACAAGCTGATGTCCTTGTTTGGCCCTGAGGGCGTGCAACACCTTGTAGCACAAGGCCCCGAGGCAATCGATGCGCGTCTAGAGGCGTTTCCAAATTACGAAAACGCACTGCTAGAGTACCTGCAGCAGAAGATGTTGCATCATTTGCGTCTACGACGCCCTAAGCCGCTCATGATTAGCGTTGTGGTCTTCGAGGATAACGATGCAGAGAATCCGCTACTTTAGGTGTGGTCGTGGTGGCGACCGCATCCACCATGCTCCAGACCGATCAACAGCACGTGGCGCTAGCCATCTCAGAGCTCGGTGGTCGAGCGCA